CTCAATAGAGTTTTCTCAGTTATTTTCCTCCCTTCTCCTTCCAATCTCCAGCAAAAGCTGGGATCCAGAAAGGAAGAATCTAGTGTAGAAGTTGAGAAGAAATGGATAGGGTCACTGCCCTGGGTGCTAGGTGGACCAAGTAAAAGACTCAGTGGATGAACTGGTGCAGTGCCTGACAGAATAAAAAACAGTATTAATCCCTTTGAGAAAGCATAGTCCAATAGGACAGTGGCCATCTGGACAGAAGCCCACTTAGTTTCATGGGAGCAACAGCACATATCAGAAGCCAGACTTGCTCTTCGGTCATGTACTTTGGGATACAGGGTATAGATGTAGCCCTGTCACAACACCAACAGAAGTAGCAGCCTCTGGGCGCAGTCACCCACACCCCAAAGCTGGAAGAATCTGGTTCAACATAGCACAGACCTTTCGGAAAAATGAAATTAACATCACTGATGTGTAATCCAGTAAGATCTCCCTCTTTTGGGTGTGTATGTGGGCATGTTTGTGCCCATTTCTATGTGTGCGTCTATGTGCAACATACTACCAACAGCCTCATGTGCACTTGTCCTGACAGTGCTCACTGAGAACTCTCACCAGGTTGGTGCCTGAATGCCTTATTCTCAGCATTCAGAGGCTTGCTTGCTCTGTGCAGATTTTTAATTTTCTTTTTTGGCCCTAGGCTGGTTGGGACCTCTACAGCTTCATTCTTTCACTATTAAATAGTGGCCTTTTTCAGTATTTTCCCTCTCCCCCTTTATAAATTGCTAAAGCCGCAAAGCACATTTTTGGGGATCATAGAAGGCTGGGGTTCCAGAAGGGGATCTGTGTGATGGTTCCATTGATGTGGGATTTCCCTACTTGCTGTATTCTCAATTTCTAATAAAAAGAACCAAACAAAAAAAAATAAAAGTAAATTAAAACCTAAGCATGCAAAGTGTGAGGAAAACATGTCTCATAATGAAGAGAATAATCATTTGAAATTGACTCTGAACTGACATAGATGCTAGATAAAACTAGCTGACTAGGATATTAAAAGAGTTATTAAAATTTTACTTCATATATTCAAAAAGTAGGAACATGGAAGATACAAAAAAAAAAGAGAAAGAAAACCCTAAATTGAACTTGTAGAGATGAAAATGATAATGTCTAAGATGAAAAAATAACAGCAGCTATTAAATGTGTTCAAGGAGGAAAAAAAAAAATGAAAAAAATATACTACATGGCATTATAACAGATTATATACAGATGAAAAAAATACTTAACTGAAGGCATAGAAAGGGAAATTATGCAAACTGAAATACACAGAATTCAAAAGAACAAAAACATTAAAGAGCATCATTGAGCTGTGGGACCATTTCAAGCAGCTTAATATGTACAAATTAGAGTCTCCAAAGGACCCCAATGTGGAGAGAAGGTGGTTGCAAAAATTTTTTTTAGGGAAATAGGCAGATCACAGTGGCTTACTCCTGTAAGCCCAGCACTTAGGGAGGTCTTTTGTACAAAAAAAGTTTAAAAAGAGCTGGGCACAGTGGCTCACGCCTGTAATCCCAGCACTTTGGGAGGTCAAGGTGGTCAGATCACAGGGGCAGAAGTTCAAGACCAGCCTGATCAACATGGTGAAACCCTGTCTCTACTAAAAATACAAAAAAAAAAAAAAGCTGGGCATGGTAGCACAAGCTAGTCCCAGCTACTCAGGTGACTGAGGCAAAAGAATTACTTGAACCCAGGAGGTGGAGGTTGTGGTAAGCTGAGATTGCGCCACTGCACTCCAGCCTGGGCAATAGAACAAGACTCCATCTCAAAAAAAAAAAAAAAAAAAAAAGAGAAGAAACAATCGCTCAAAACTTTCCAAACGTGAGGAAAATTATAGACCTATATATAAAGCTCAATAAATCCCAAATACAGGAACATGAAGTTAATTATCTCAAGACACATATAATCAAATATTCTAAATTGTTACTAATCTTAAAAGTAGTCAGAGGAAAAGAACATGTACATACAGAAGAACAAATATGATGATGACATCAGATTTCATATTAGAAAGAAACAAGTCAGAAAAAAGCTACTCAATCAATACCTTTAAAGTACTGCCAATCCAGTATACCTGGTAAAAATCTTTCAAAAACAAAGGTTAAGTAAAGATGTTTTCAGTCAGACAAAAGCTGAAGAATTCATCATTAGCAGATCCACACTATAAGAAATGTTAAAGGATGTCTTTCAGGCTAAAGAAAAATGACACCAGGTTGGACATGGTGGTGCACACCTATAATCCTAGCACTTTGGGAGTCAAAGGTGGGTAGATGGCTTGAGTTCGGGAGTTCAAGACCAGCCTGGGCAACAAGGCAAAAACCCATCTCTACAAAAATTTAAAAGTTAGCTGGGCATGGTGGGGTGTGCCTATAGTTTTAGCTACTGAGGAGGTTTAACATAGGAGGTTAAACATAGGAAATCGAAGCCTTAACATAGGAGGTTGAAGCTGCAGTGAGCTGAGATCGTGCCACTGCACGCTAGCCTGGGTGACAGAGCGAGATTCTGTCTTAAAAACTAAAAAAAAAAAAAGTGTGTAAATTATTTTAAAAACTAAAAAAAATTTACTATTAGCAATTCTGAAGTATATTATTATTAATTTATTATTAATTTAGGAATTATAGGTGTGAGCCACCACCTCAGCCAAGAGTAAATTTTAAATGCTCTCACTACAAAAAACAGTAAGTATGTAAAGTGATGGATATGTTTAATTAGCTTGATTTAATCATTACACAGTGATTAAACACATACATCAAAACATCACATTGGGCCCGGTGCAGTGGCTCATGCCTAAAATTCCAGCACTTTGGGAGACAGAGGTGTGAGGATCACTTGAGGTCAGGAGTTTGTGATCAGCCTGGCCAACATGGTGAAACCCAGTATCTACTAAAAAACCCACCAAACTTAGCCAGGCATGGTGGCACACACCTGTAATACTAGCTACTTGGGAGGCTGAGCCAGGAGAATCGCTGGAACCCAGGACGTGGAGGTTGCAGTGAGCCGTGATCACGACACTGCACTCCAGCCTGGGGGACAGAATGAGACTCCTTCTCAAAAAAAAAAAAAAAACAAAAAAACCCACATCACACTACTCCATTTACACAATTATTATTTTTTATTATTAAAAAAATTTTTTAAATCACAGGAAAATGCAAGTAATCCAAATACCCCAAATAAAAAACAGAGATTTTCAAACTGGATAAAAAAGCAGGCTGCAAGGTATAAGCTACCTACAAGAAAAACATTTTAAATATAAAGACAAATATAGGTTAAAAGTAAAAGGATAAAATGTATATATATACACACACTATGCTAACACTAGTCAAAAGAAAGTACAAATGGCTATATCATAGTGTCAAAGCAGACTTCAAAGTAGAGGATATTACCAGGGGTAAAGAAAGCAATTTCATAATGGTAAAGGAGTCCACTCATCAGAAGGACCAAATTCTAAATGTTTATACCTAATTATACCTAATAATAATAGGGTTTCAAAATACATGAAGAAAAAAGTGATAGAACTGTAAGGAGACACATACACATCTACAGAAACTTCAAAATTATAGACAGAAATTTCAAAATTCCTTTGTCAATAACTGATAAAACAGGTAGGCAGAAAATTAGTAAGGATATGGTAGAGTTGTACAGTGTCAACCAAATACACCCAGTTGTCATTTATAGAACATTATACCTGGCCAGGGGTGGTGGTTCATGCCTGTAATCCCAGCACTTTGGGAGACCAAGGTGGGTGAATCACCTGAGGCCAGGAGTTTGAGACCAGCCTGATCAACATGGAGAAACCCCATCTCTACTAAAAATACAAAAAATTAGCCAGGCATGATGGTGCATGCCTATAATCCCGGCTACTCAACAGGCTGAGGCAGGAGAATCACTTAAACCCAGAAGGAGGAGGATGTGGTGAGCTGAAATCGTGTCATTGCACTCCAGACTGGGCAACAAGAGCAAAACTCCATCTCAAAAAAAAAAAACAAAACCCACTATACCCAATAATAGGACAATACACATTCCTCTCAAGTGTACACAGAATATTTACCAAAATAGATCACATCTTGGCCATATACAAGTCTCAATAAATTCAGAAGGACTCAAACCAAACAAAGCATATTCTTCGACCACAAAGAATTAACTTAGAATCAATATATCAAATTGAATTATTGAAAAAATTTGATCACAAGGTAGTAGAGAAAAATATGGAAGGAAACATAATAAAGTTGTATTAATATTAGTAACTTCATGGAGATAAAAATCATGAAAGGTTGGAGACAGCGCCTTAAGGACGTTAAATACATTTTGCACTGCTTCAATGGTTATAATAAACATGTACGCCTTTTGAAATTTAAAAAAATATATAGGATTTTTTTTTTTTTTTGAGACAGTCTTGCTCTGTCACCCAGGCTTGGAGTGCAGTGGTGCGATCTTGGCTTATGTAACCTCTGCCTCCCAGATTCAAGCAATTTTCCTGCCTCAGCCTTCCAAGTAACTGGGACAGGCGTGCGCCACCACATCCGGCTAATTTTTGTATTTTCAGTGGAAACAGGATTTCACCACGTTGGCTAGCCTGGCCTTGAACTCCTGACCTTGTATGACCCACCCACCTCAGCCTCCCAAAGTGCTGGAATTTCTGGCATGAGCCACTGCACCCGACCCACAAATACTTAAAATAAATTTCCCATTCCATTTCAGGTGACCTGAGCCAACTTCTGTATCAAGTAATTAGATTAACCCTGAATAAATAAAATATTGTAATTTATTTAATACTTCCTCTGTTACTGGACATCTAGGTTGTTTTCCATTTTCTACCTTATATAATGAAGACTACAATGAACAGATGGGTTCTCCTTAAATAGCAGTCCTCAATATTTCCTAAAAATCCATCTCTTCTAACTCACTAATCTATGCTTCCCATAATCTAATTCCTTGAGAGCAGAGGTCTGCTTTAAAATGGCTTTTGAATACTCACTTCGGCAGCACATATACTAAAGTTGGAATGGTACAGAGAAGATTGGCATGGCCCCTGTGCAAGGACACATGTAAATTCACAAAGTGTTGCATATTTTTTTCAAATATAAAAAATAAAATAGGCCGGGCGTGGTGGCTCACGCCTGTAATCCCAGCACTTTGGGAGGCCGAGGCAGGTGGATCACAAGGTCAAGAGATCGAGACTATCCTGGTCAACACGGTGAAACCACGTCTCTACTAAAAATACAAAAAATTAGCTGGGCATGGTGGCGCGTGCCTGTAATCTCAGCTACTCAGGAGGCTGAGGCAGGAGAATTGCCTGAACCCAGAAGGCGGAGGTTGTGGTGAGCCGATATCACGTCATTGCACTCCAGCCTGGGTAACAAGAGTGAAACTCTGTCTCAAAAAAAATAAAATAAAATAAAATGGCTTTTATTTTATTTAAGTTGACAAAACATTTGATCTTTTACCTTTGTCTCAAAATCTTTGAGGGCTCACTTTAATCTATATCCAATATATTAAGAAATATCTGATTCATAAGCGGTCTTTTTTTTGAGACAGAGTTTTGCTCTGTTGCCCAAGCTGGAGTACAATGTCAGCTCACTGCAACCTCTGCCTCCCAGGTTCATGCGATTATTGTGCCTCAGTTGCCTGAATAGCTGGGATTGTAGGCAGGCATGAGCACACCTGGCTAAATTTTGTATTTCTTTTCTTTTTTTTTTTCCCCCCCAAGATGGATTCTTGCTCTGTCACCCAGGCTGAAATGCAGTGGTGCGATCTCGGCTGACTGCAACCTACGCCTTCCAGTTTCAAGCAAGTTTCCTGCCTCAGCCTCCCGGGTAGCTGGGATTACAGGCACCAGCCACCACCCCAAGCTAATTTTTGTATTTTTAGTAGAGACAGGGTTTCACCATGTTGCAAGGCTGGTCTGGAATTCCTGACCTCAAGATCTGCCTGCCTCAGCTTCCCAAAGTGCTGGGATTACAGGTGTAAGCCACCAAGCCTGGCTCATTTTTGTATTTTTAATAGAGATGGGGTTTCACTATGTTGGCCAGACTGGTTTTCATAAGAAATTAAAATATATATATATATGTTTATTATGATTTTTTGAGACAGGGTTTCACCTTGCTGCCCAGGCTGGAGTGCAATGGCGCAGTCTCAGCTCACTGCAAACTCTGCCTCCTGGGTTCAAGTGAGTCTCCTGCCTCAGCCTCCCAAGTAGCTGGGATTACAGGCACCTGCCACCACGCCCAGCTAATTTTTGTATTTTTAGTAGAGACAGGATTTCACTATGTTGGCCAGGCTGTTCACAAACTCCTGACCTCAAGTGATCTACCTGCCTCTGCCTCCCAAAGTGTTGGGATTACAGGTGTGAGCCACCACACCTGGCCAATATACATATTTTTATAGTCTTTTTAAATGTAATAATATTTATTTTCCAATGTCACTGTTTACAAGTATCATAGCAGCAACACTCTTTCTTTTTTTGTTCATTTGCCTAGAAATCATCCAAAATTGCCACTGCTGAGCAGGTAGCTCATGTTTACAATCCCAGAACTTTAGGAGGCCAAGGTAGGAGGATTGCTTGAGCTCAGGAGTTTGAGACCAGCCTGGGAAACATGGCAAAACCCCATCTCTACAAAAAAGACAAAAATTGGCTGGGCATTGTGGCACACACCTATGGTTCCTCCTCCTAGAGAGACTGAGTTGGGGGAATTGCTTGAGCCTAGCAGGAGGCCAAGGCTGCAGTAAGCTGTGATCACACCACTGTACTCCAGCCTAGGCAACAAAGTGAGACCTTGTCTCAAAAAAAAAAAAGAGAAATTGCCATTGTCAACCATATTTCAAGTTGTCATGGCGAGCTATGGGGAATAGTTCTCAATTAGCAATGATTGTGCCCTGGATAAACTCATTGGCTATGATAGTGCAACTGCAGAGCTGAAACTTTCAATGTGTTACTTCAAACAGAAAATAAATACAGCTTGGAACTTAGCGGGAAGTGCTTATATCTTACCAAAAGTCCTAGAACTTTCTGCTGAATGGACGACTCAGTTGGGAAAGACTGTAAAAAGAAAGAGAAACCTTTAATTACCTAAGGAATCAAATATAAAATGAATGCTAAAATAAGTAAATTAATAAATATAAAAACTGTAAGCTAAATTCCCATTCTAACCTCTAGAACCCTCATGAAGAGTTCTAACCCTTGGTTTTCAATAAAGTGTCTACAAGTGGTTGGGGATTCATCTGTGAGGTTCCAAAGTGCACTCAAAGTAAATTTCAACGTAGTGTCCACTGAATTCTGATTGGTTTTCTGCTTCACTATTTGAAGAAGTTGCTGAAAAAAGAAAACAGAATTCAGTTTTCATTTTTGAACTGTTATTACAATTTGCAGTTATTAATAAGTACAAGTCCATGAGGATTAGTTGGATTAGTCTCATGGCTTAAAGCATTTCCTGTAAAGGTATTACAGCCCCTTGGACTGAATGTTTCGTCAAGAAAAAAGTATAAAATTTTCATAAATACTTCTATATTATTCTGATCATACCTACAATGTAATCACCCATAAATAAAACTTAAAAGCAAAATAATTAAAACTTGGGTCAAACTATCTTACCCATTTAGTCACAGCATATACTTATTTTAGATTCTAGAATTAAAAAGGCAAAGGAAGAGAAGGGCAAATGAAGTTAACATTTATTAAGGATTAGCGAACTATATTCTATACTGTAGTACTATTACTCCCATTTTTCAGGAGACAAAATTGAGTCTGAGAAATATTAACTAATTTGATCATAGTCGGCCGGGTGCGGTAGCTCACACCTATAATCCCAGCACTTTGGGAGGCCGAGGCGGGTGAATCACGAGGTCAAGAGATCGAGACCATCCTGGTCAACATGGTGAAAGACCGTCTCTACTAAAAATACAAAAATTAGCTGGGCATGGTGGTGCACGCCTGTAGTCCTAGCTACTCGGGAGGCTGAGGCAGGAGAATTGCTCGAACCCAGGAGGTGGAGGTTGTGGTGAGCCGAGATTGCGCCATTGCACTCCAGCCTGGGTAACAAGAGCGAAACTCCATCTCAAAAAAACAAAAACAAAAACAAAATTGATCATAGTCAATTTAGTCAGAGAAAGTAAGAACAGAAAGACCCAATCTATCCAACTCCAAGTTTTCCTTAAGAAAAAAAAAGTAAAAAACTACATACAATGATTAAGAGAATTAAAGACTATATTGACTATAAATAATAGCCCCTCCCTCCTCAACCTTCCCTGAGGGCAGATGCTGCAGCGCCTCTGTCTTGCTTTTTCTTATTTTTCCTGTTTCCCCTTCTCTTTTTATTTCCTTTTTCCCTTCCTCCATTTCAAAAACAAGAAGATAATAGCTTTGAAATTCCAGTTGTAAATTAGTTCTATCATAGCTTTACCCTAAAAAATTTATGTTTGAAAAGTGGTTTTAAAACTACATAAGGCATCCATAATTCCATTTTTAGATTATACTTCTGGAGGTAAAAAAGGAAGCTCTGCTAAAACAGATGTAAGAAAACATTAATGAATATGTTACTAAAGGTAATATATTCAGAAAAAAAATTTGAAGAAAAACATGTAGGTACAGTTAGGTACGTTAACAGCATAGTAGCTAAGAGTGTGGCATTAGAAGAAAACTACCTGAGCTTAAATATAATCTCTGGATCTGACTAACTGCAAAACCCAGTTTACCAGTTTAACTCTTTGTTTCCTCATCTATAGATTGCAGGTGGCATCAGGGAAAAAAAATCTACTTATAATCATCATCACTATTACTACTAATTCCTTCTTTAAGCTTGATTTCCTCCCAAAGAATGTAAGTAGATTTTCTTTTTTTTTTTTTGAGACGGAGTTTCGCTCTTGTTACCCACGCTGGAGTGCAATGGCACGATCTCGGCTCACCGCAACCTCCGCCTCCTGGGTTCAGGCAATTCTCCTGCCTCGGCCTCCCAAGTAGTTGGGATTACAGGCACGCGCCCACCATGTCCAGCTAATTTTTTGTATTTTTAGTAGAGACTGGGTTTCACCATGTTGACCAGGATGGTCTCGATCTCTTGACCTCGTGATCCACTCTCCTCGGCCTCCCAAAGTGCTGGGATTACAGGCGTGAGCCACCACGCCCAGCCTAGTAGATTTTCTTTAAAATCTTTCAATATCCCAAAATTACTGAGAGACATATATAGCAAAAAGAGGCCATTTTAAAAAACCGTCACTCCTGAAAACAGTAAAAATAAACAAAAAAGTATCTTTTTTTACCTATCTAATATATTTACTGTTAGATACTTAGCATATACTACCTGAATTAATCATTTTTCTTTTTTTTTTTTTGACATGGGATCTCATTCTATCACTCAGGCTGGAGTGCAGTGACACAATTATAGTTTACTGCAGACTTGTACTCCCAAGCTCAACCGATTCTCTTGCTTCAATCTCCTGAGTAGCTGAGACTACAGATGTGTGCCACCATGCCTGGTAAATTTTTTTTTTTTTGGATTAGAGCCAGAATTTCACTATATTGACCATGCTGGTCTCAAAATCCTGGCTATAGGTGAACCTCCCACCTCAGCCTCCCAAAGTGCTGGGATTACAAGCATGAGCTTTTTTTCTTTTCATTGAGTCTTCATAATAACTGTATCAAGTAGTTTTTATCACCCCTAAGAAAACTCTGATTTGCCCAAAATACATGGCTATTTTTTTATGTCAACACAGGGAAATTTTTTTTTTTTGAGACGGAGTTTCACTCTTGTTACCCAGGCTGGAGTGCAATGGCGCGATCTCGGTTCACCACAACCTCCGCCTCCTGGGTTCAAGCAATTCTCCTGCCTCAGCCTCCCAAGTAGCTGGGATTACAGGCACGCGCCACCATGCCCAGCTAATTTTTTTTGTATTTTTAGTAGAGACGGGGTTTCACCATGTTGACCAGGATGGTCTCGATCTCTTGACCTTGTGATCCACCTGCCTCGGCCTCCCAAAGTGCTGGGATTATAGGCGTGAGCCACCGTGCCCAGCCCGCATGCTTATTAAAGAGAGAGAAATGAGAATAAATCCAGATGTCGACTCCAGAATTCTTACTCTTTCCATTATTCCTAAGTAGCCTTCTCTCTATAACATTATTTTTTCATTCCTATCTCTATTATTATACTTTTTAGATTCATTACAACCATATCTACATAGCTATTTTTTTTCTATTGTACTGTTTATTATGGGTAGAATTTATGGTAATCCATAATATAATTACCTAATTATAATTCAGTGTGAATTCCCTAACATCTAGTAAGGTAGTAAGTATCATTCATTTGATATCATGGGTACTCTATACATATATATCAAATGAATGGCTTACTTTCTCATTACATATATAGTTTGTAAGTCATGGAAAAAAGGGGTCTCTTACTTGACTTTTCCATGTAGTGTTATTATTCAAACACCTCATTCTAGGATTTTAACAGGCATGTTTAAATATACTTTTTGCCTCTAAATCTTCCCTAAGACATTGTTTATATCTGCTCCCTTTAAAGCTTTTTAAACTTTTCATGGTTTACTAGTCTTATTTCCTCATCTGATTATAAGCAAGCAAAAATATATATCAGATATTTAAATTATCTGCTTCCCAAAATATACAGCACAACCTTATGACTGTAATAGAGTCTCTACATTTTCCATATAATTAATAAAAATCACAGTGTTTTGGGTTTTTTTTTTTTTGGAGACAAGGTCTTGCTCTGTCACCCCGGCTGGAGTACAGTGGTGTCCACCATGGCTAACTGTAACCTAGACCACTTGGGCTCAAGCAACTCTCTCACCTCAGCCTCCTGAGAAGTTGGGACCGTAGACATCTGCTACCATGCCTGGCTAATTTTTAAATGATTTGTGTAGATGGGGCCTCACTATATTGTCCAGGCTGGTCTCAAACTCCTGGGCTCAAGCAATCCTCCTGCCTTGGCCTCCCAAAGTGCTGGGATTACAGGCATAACCACTGTGCCTGGCCTTACATAGGATCTTAATACTTATGTAGACCCTATCGGTGCAAGTAATTTTCTCAAATTCACAAAGTGAGTTTACAACCTAGATCCTAGGTCATCTGACTCCTAGTTCAGGGCTTTTCCCATCTCTGTTAAGGAGCAAAGTTGCATATATGAAAATAAATAAATATACTTCTTTAGAAGTAACAAAAAAAAAGGGTCTCACTCTGTCACCAAGGCTGGAGTACAGTGACACGATCACGACTCACTGCAGCCTTGACCTCCTGGGCTTCAGTGATTTTCCCACCTCAGCCTCCTGAGTAGTTGGAACCACAGGCATGTGCCACAATGTCCAACTTCCTTTTTTTTTTTGGAAGAGAAGGAGTCCCATTATATTGCCCAGACTATTCTTGAACTCCTGGCTTCAAGTGATCCCCTCCTGCCTTGGCCTCCCAAAGTGCTGGATTTACTGGTGCGAGTCACCACGTGCCTGGCCACAAAAAGTTTTTATTAAAATATAAAATGTCGGCCGGGCATGGTGTCTCAGGCCTGTAATCCCAACACTTTGGGAGGCCAAGGCGGGGGAATCACAAGGTCAGGAGTTCGAGACCAGCCTGACCAATATAGTGAAACCTCGTCTCTACTCTACATACAAAAATTAGCTGGGCATGGTAGCATGTGCATGTAATCCCAGCTACTCAGGAAGTTGGGGCAGGAGAATCGCTTGAACTTAGGAGGCGGAGGATGCAGTGAGCCAAGATCAGGCCATTGTACTCCAGTCTGGGCAACAGAGTAAGACTCTGGCTCAAAATATATATATGTGTGTGTGTGTGCATGTGTGTGTGTGTCAGAAAATGTATAATACTGCCTGAAAACAATAAACATGAATATCTAGTAGCCTGCATGGAGAAGATTATAGACTTACCCTGACGATGAAGAGTTCAGTACCAAGCTGTGCAGTTTGTTCTGTAGAAAGCTATAAGCAAGTAAAAAACAAATTCAGTGTCCAAGAACTCACTAATGTGAGTTTAATACCATTCACTGTACCTGACTCCAAAGGTTGGACTAAAATCAATCTCTGATCAACTTGCAATTCTGCTATATCTATATCTATCTATCTATCAATCTATCTATCTATCTGTCTATCTATTTTGTGAGACAGGGTCTCGCTCTGTCACCCAGGCTAGAGTGCAGTGGTGTGATCACAGTTCACTGCAGCCTCCATCTCCCAGGCTCAAGAATTCTCCCACCTCAGTTGCCTGAGTAGCTGGGTCTACAGGTACTCGCCACTAAACCCAGTTAATTTTTGTATGTTCTGTGGAGACGGGGTCTACCTATGTTGCCCAGTCTGGTCTCAAACTCATGGCTTCAATCAATCTGCCTGCCTCAGCCTCCCAAAGTGCTGAGATTACAGGCATGAGTCACCGTGCCCAGCCAAATTCTGCAATATTCAATGTAGCCTGAATAAGCAGGCTGGCAGAGAGATTTACTAATCTTTCTGGCACACAGATTTCAGGGGGAAACAGTAAATGTAATGATAAACTGCTGCCTACAGAAAATTATTCAGCAAGAGTTCAGGTACCTTGGCAGCCAGGATGGAAATGATAGCAACTGCCATCCTTTGCATGTTTTGATCCTCATGGTTGCAGAGCCATTGCATGACAAGCTTGGCTGCTTCAAATCTGAAAACACAAAAAGGGTTTCATGAATTAATCGTGGAGGCCCAGGCACAGTTTTAGAGTTCTAGCTACAACTTAAATATGCAAAAAGGCAAGGGAAAATTCCTCTTAACGGGTAGAGAGTAACAATAAATTACTTAGTGTTTTAGAAATGATGTCATATTATTAATTCTGACAACATTTTGTAAAGAAAGAAGGGTTTGGAAAATAAGATTCCAACTATCTGGCATTTCATTTTCTAGAATTACAACATATTTCTATTCTATATTTCTAAATTGTAGGTTTTTCTATATTCAGTTTTGATTTAAATATTTTCTGGGTTACTCATAGCACCTAGCACAACAGAAACATTCATTCATTCATTCACAAACATATATTAAACTCTTGCTTTGTGCCAAATATTGTTCTTAGTGCTGGAGATAGAGTAGTGAACAAAAGAGAAAAATTTTGCTACTTTCCTAGAGCTTACATTCTAGTGAGGAAGACAGGTAATAAATCAGATAAATAAGTAAAATAGATAGTATGGATAGGTACTGACATATGCTATAGAGAAAAAAAAAATAAAGCAGGAAAAGAGGATATGAAATGTTGAAATTTTATGTAGGGTGGCTATGGAAGGCCTTATTGAAACTTTTAAGGACATAAGAGATAGCCATATGGATATTTAGGGGACAAGCATTCCAGGCAGAGAGGAGGGGAAATACAACGACCCTGAAGTGGGTATCTGCCTAAGAAGTTTCAACAAATAGCATGGAGGCCAGTGAGGCCAGAGCAGAAAGAACAAGGGAAGAGTTCTGAGAGAGAAAGTCAGAGGTAAGAGAGGCACCAGATCACATAGAGTCTAGTGTACTGTCCATTCTTCCACTGCAATAAACAACTACCTAAGACTGAGGAATTTATAAAGAAAAGGGGTTTAATTGGCTCATGGTTCCACAGGCTGTAAGGAAGCACAGCTAGGAAGACCTCAGGAAACTTGCAATCATGGTGGAAGGTGAAAAAGAGGCTGGCACATCCTACATTGGAAGTAAGAGCAAAGCCGGAGGTGCTACACACTTTCGAATGACCAGATCTTGTGAGAACTCTATCACAAGACAGCACATGGCGGATGGTGCTAAGCCATTAGAAAACACCCCCATGATCCAATCACTTCCCACCAGGCCCCACTTCCAGCACTGGTGATTACAATTCAGCATGAGATTTGGGTGGGGACACAGAGTCAAAACATATCAGTAAAGAATAAGCTTTTACTCTGAATGAGAGGGAAAGCAATGAAAGGCTTCTGAGCAATATGACATGAGCAGGACTACTCTATCAGCTGTGTTTAGAATAAACTCCAGGAGGGCAAGGACAGAAGCAGGAGAGCAGTTCTGAGGCTACTGCAGTAATTCAGGAGAGAAATCGCTTTTAGTCTACTCCAAGCGGTAAAAATGGAAGTGAAGAAATCCAGAAATGGTTGAATTCTGGATACATTTTGAAGATAAAGCTGGATTTGCCAAAAAACTCAACGTGGGCCATAGGAGAAAAATCAAGATGCGGTTAAGTAATATATATGATTATCTTACCCATGGTCTCATCCTTAAGATTCAGATCGAATATCACTGCCTTTGAGAAGGTTTCTTTGATGAGTTGATTACTGCCTTCTTAGCTCCTTAGTACTTTAGGTTTAGCTGTCAGAGATCCACAGTCATCTGCAGACTCACCTGAATCACCATTTGGCCTGTGGCTCCTTGAGGGTGGGGACTATATATCCTATTGGTCCTTTATGCCACACACTCAATACAGTGATCAAAACATAAATAGTGTTTAACATGTGTTGACTAAATGATTATTTTTAGGTAGATTACTACTCTGCAACTTCCCTTATTACTATTACCTTCTTTCTGTTCCCAAGGCCATTCCTGATTAGGCCCATTACTTGTATTCTTCTACAATAAATTCCTAATTGGCTTCTCTGTTTCCACTGGTTTCCCATCAATGTGTGCCTGCACATTAGAAATAAATAAACCTGTCCAAGGACTTAGGTATGATGTCACTCCCACACTCACAGCATTCTAGGATTTTAGTGTGGGGCCATATCAAGCTTTTTTCCTGCCTACCCTATGCTTGCTGCAAAGTGAATTATTCATTAGTCTTCACACATGCCCACAAGTATGAGGTAACACAGCCTAGTGGTAAAGTATACAGATTCTCAAGTCAATTCTGGGTTTGAATTCTAGTTCTACTTAATGTTAACAATAAAATGAATTATTTTATCATGTGAGGCAATGTTGTCAAGTTTTTAAGAACATTATACACTTTGGAGTCAGCCTGGATTCAAATATTAGCTCCACCACTTATTAACCTTTTTTCTTTTTGATATGGAGTTTCACTCTTGTTGCCAAGGCTGGAGTGCAGTGGCACTGTCTTGGCTCCCTGCAACCTCTGCCTCCTGGGTTCAAGTGATTCTTCGGCCTCAGCCCTCCTAGTAGCTGGAAGCCCGCCACCACACTGCGCTAATTTTTTGTATTTTTAGTAGACACAGCATTTCACTATGTTGGCCAGGCTGCTCTCAAACTCCTGACCTCAGGTGATCCACCCACCTCAGTCTCCCAAAGTGTTGGGATTGCAGGCGTGAGCTACTGCACCCAGCCTAACTTTGGGACTCTGAGCAAATTCCTGATTCTCTCTGAACTTCAATATTCCTATCTGTGAAACAGTAACAAAAACGTATTCCAGGCCAGGCATGTTGGCTCACGCCTGCAATCACGACACTCTGGGAGGCTGAGACAGGCAGATCACCTGAGGTTAGAAGTTCAAGACTAGCCTGGCCAACATGGTGAAACTCTGCCCTATTAAAAATACAAAATTAGGCTTGTGTAGTGGCGCACACCTGTAGTCGCAGCTACTCAGGAGGCTGAGGCAGGAGAACTGCTTGAACCCAGGAGAACGAGGTTGCGGTGAGCCAAGATCGTGCTATTGCACTCTAGCCTGGGCAACAAGAGCAAAACTCTTGTCTCAAAAATAAAAAAACAAAATAAAAACTATTCTATAGGGCTGTCATGAGGATTAAATGATATTACATAGAAGCTTAAGACTTGTACACAAAATAAGTTCTTTATAAAGGTTAATTTTTACTAACATAATTGACTTTCTCTGTGTCTTTATTCATGCAGTTCCAACAACATAAAACAATTCAACCAGCTCTCATCTTAAAAAATGGAGGATCTGGAGTCAGACTGAATTTAAATCTAGACTCTGCTACTTACTATCTCATTACCTTGGGCAAGTTACTAATCCTTTCTGTGTCTCTATTTCCTCATCTGTAAAATGAAGATCCTAAGAGTAACGATTTCACAGGATTGTTCTGAGGACTGAATAAGCACAGATAAAACACTTTAGCACAATGCCTGCCTTGCAAATAGTAAGTGCTTCATATATGTTAGTTTTACCATTTTTATCTCAAGTGCCATTACTAACATGAAATCCTTAACTATCATCAGTAAGATAGAATCTTTCCTTCCTTGTGTGGGGGCCCAATGCATTTCATTAACACCTCTTCTATGAAAAATTTTGTTTCAACCAGGCACAATGGCTTACGCTACTCTGGGAGTGATTCCAGCACTTTGGGAGGCTGAGATGGGCGGATCAACTGAGGTCAGGAGTTCGAGAGTGGCCTGGCCGACATGGTGAAATCTCGTCGCTACTAAAAATACAGAAATTAACTGGGCACGGTGATGGGCACCTATAATCCCAGCTACTCGGAGGCTGAGGCAGGAGAATATCTTGACAGCAGAAGGCGGAGGTTGCAGTGAGCCAAGATTGTGCCACTGCACTCCAGCCTCAGTGAAAGGGCAAAACTCTGTCTCGAAAAAAGAAAAATTCTGTCTCATGTAATACTCATTTATTCATCCATCCATCAATCCATTAAATATCCACTAAAGCACTAGAGACAAAGAGACGAACCAATCATAACCTCTGACCACAAAGAAGGTCAATTCTTATTATTTATTTATTTATTTTTGAGACGGAGTTTCACTCTTGTTACCCAGGCTGGAGTGCAATGGCGCGATCTCAGCTCACTGCAACCTCTGCCTCCTGGGTTCAAGCAATTCTCCTGCCTCAGCCTCCTGAGTAGCTGGGACTACAGGTGTGCACCATCATGCCCAGCTAATTGTTATATTTTTAGTAGAGACGGGGTTTCGCCTTGTTGACCAGGATGGTCTCAATCTCTTGACCTCGTGATCCACCCGCCTCGGCCTCCCAAAGTGCTGGGATTATAGGCGTGAACCACCGCGTAGCGCCTGGCCAGAAGGTCAATTCTTGCAGAGAACATTGGCTAGATGAGAGGCAGGCAAACTTTATAGCCTGTGGATCTGGCTGCCTGCTTTGTAAAGTTCTGTTGGAACACAGTCACACCCATTTGCTTCTATATTAGCTATGGCTGCTTTTGAGGTACAGTGGCATAATTAAATAGTTGCAACAGAGACTTTATGGCCCATAGGCCTAGCGTATTTATAATCTAGCCCTTTAAGAAAACGTTAAAGGGTAGAATATAATCTTTAGGAGAGTGACTGTCTTTCCTACCTTAGACTTTGTTACAACGATCAGTACAGAGGCTCAATATTTCCAAAATAAAATTAGCAATCTACATGAGATATATGTAGTTATATTTTTATCCAAATTGTTTATTTCAAATAAAAAATGGAACACTGCTTTCCTTAGCCATGCCAAATAAGTGTTCTCTGTTACTTAAATAAAAGTAAATTACAGTAAAATTGCTGCTTAAAAGTCAGGAGCAGTGGCTCATGCCTGTAATTTCAGCACTTTGGGAGCCCGAGGTGAATCACCTGAGGGAGTTCAAGAACAGCCTGGCCAACATAATGAAACCCCATCTCTACTAAAAATACAAAAAATTAGCTGGGCATGATGGCGCATGCCTGTAATTCCAGCTATTTGGGAGGCTAAGGCAGGAGAATTGCTTGAACCCGGGAAATGAAGGTTGCAGTGAGCCAAAAGCATACCATTGCACTCCAGCCTGGGCAACAAGAGTGAAACTCCATCTCAAAAAAAAAAAAAATTGCTGCTTGAGAAACATACTTTTCATTAAATAATGAAGTATAAAGTTCCTTTTCAAAATGCTATGATTAAAAAATGGTATTTTAATACTGGGCATGGTGGCTCACGCCTGCAATCCCAGCATATCGGGAGGCCGAGGCAGGTGGATAACTTGAGGTCAGGAGTTTGAGACCAGCCTGGCCAACATGGTAAAACCTTGTCTGTACTGAAAAATACAAAAATTAGCCCAGTGTGGTGGCATAGGCCTGTAGTGCCAGCTACTCAGGTGGCTGAGGTAGGAGAACCCAGGAGAAGGAGGTCTGCAGTGAGCTGAGATTGTGGCATTGCACTGCAGCCTAGGTGACAGAGACCCTTTCTCAAAAAAAGAAAAATAAAAGTGATATTTTAAAATAGTAAAACGAAAAAAAAAAAACCCAACTTTTTTTTTTGTTGTTGTTGAGATGGAGTCTCGCTTTGATGCCAGGGATGGAGTGCAGTGGCATGATCTCGGCTCACTGCAACATCTCTTGGGCTCAAGCAATTCTCCTGCATCAGCCTCCCAAGTAGATGGGATTATAGGCACCTGCCACTACACCCAGCTAATTTTTCGTATTTTTAGTAGAGACAGGGTTTCACCATGTTGGCCAGGCTGGTCTCAAACTCCTGACCTTGTGATTCGCCTACCTCAGCCTCCCAAAGTGCTGGGATTACAGGTGTGAACCACCTCGCCCAGCCAAAAAAAAAAAATACTTTTTTAAGATCCAAAATTACATCTTAAAAAACAAAGGTCCCCTTTATATTTAATGGAATCTAGCTCTGTGGCCTTCTTTAATCTCTCCTTCAAAAGTTTCTAACATAATTCAATACCAAATAGTCATAACAATAAGAGACACCGTACAGAAAAAAAGAACACTAGACCTCTTGCTTTTTTTTTTTTGAGACCAAGTCTTGCCCTGTTGCCCAGGCTGGAGTGCAATGCCACTATCTTGGCTCATTGCAACCCTTGCCTCCTGGGTTTAAGTGATTCTCTTGCCTCAGCATCTCAAGTAGCTGGGATTACAGACGTGTGCCACCATGCCCAGCTAATTTTTTGTATCTTTAGTAGAGATGGGGTTTCACAATGTTGGCCAGGCTGCTCCCGAACTCCTGACCTCGTAATTCACCTGCCTGGGCCTCCCAAAGTGCTGGGATTATAGGCGTGAGCCACCGCGCCTGGCCAAACCTGCATCTTTCTAATCCTGCAGTTATTAGTCACAAAGCCATAGTCAAGACAATGAACCTCTACATATGCCTCAGATTTTTTTATCTTTTGAATGGGGATAATAATGTTCATAGCCTACAATATTTTGTGGATATCTTGAAAACCATAACCAACATAAAATCCTAAGCAAAGGACGATGAAAACAGGGGTCAATTTGCTATCATGAATGCCAAAGCACCAAATTGAAAAAAGTATATTTAGCATTCTATAAAGTAACCCACAATTCTATCTACTCAATTAATCTTATAAAAGGATATCCTAAAAGGTAAGAAATTACCCAAGACAGATTTCTAACATTCTATTTTGCCCCACGTTAAGTTCTAGAGCTATTACTTGCCTGTTAAATGGAACATCTTGAAGGATCCGGTCACTACAAAGTGAAAGGAGGCAATTCTTCTGTAACTGAAGAATCAAAGGGAGAAAAAAAATCCTAAATAAAATATCATTTTGTTATCTTTTAACCAAGGTATAGCTTCCATTTGAAAAAAAGAAAACTGATGAAATGCCAGTTACTTCTTACAACCTTTATCTGCCCCCTACTACTGAAAGGCTGACTTCCAGTAGACCCATGTAATTTCTTATACCTTTTTTTGTCTTTTCCATTATATAAGAAATAGGGTGATAAATAGGATAATTACAACCAATTTCCTTCTTTCTGGTGGCTTATGAAGTAACCTTGCCTTCTGTATTTTTTGAGATGGAGAGAATGACAAAAAACAATGGCTCAAAGTTTTACTTGTTGACATAGCAAAAGAATATAGGCGAGCCTGCTTGGAAGACAGTCTGACTCTAACATAGAGTACGCAGGGTTAGTGTTCTACACAATGGCCTCTAAAGAGTGACTGATAGACTTGGCTCTATCTTTTCAATAAAGTTTAGACCAGTACAATTAAGCCATAGGAAATAAAAATGAATAATTCACTGACAGAGTCAAGGTGCATCATCATAACAGAAAGGTGATCCAAGTTATTCCTGTGAAGCAAAATAAAGTAAGTGTAGGCTTGAAAAAAGTCATACTGTCTAGTAATTTTTTTAATTTGGACAAATGGCTTTAATATTTTTTAAGGTTTTGGTGTACAATTGGAAGATTTCTTATCTAAATAAGACTTAATATAAGGGAATTCAATCATAGAAGGCAAAACTCAGATTAACGGGATATATACAGCTAGTCAAGAAATAGAAAAACACATAAAATGAACACCCTATTTGCTTCCTGGAAGATGTAGCAAGATTACATAATAGAATAAATGGCAGCAAAAAGGCAACGTGGTACTAAATCCCAGGGGAATTATACAGAACGGGTTAGGTGCAAGTGTAATTAATTAAGAGGGTTTCTCGGGAAGTTTTATATTCATTGCAGGTGGTCAAGGTGCTAGGACAGATTCTGTCTGAGGATCCATTTAACTCCCCTAAAATTTAAATCATAATCTGGCAGATTGATTAGCAGCACAACTTTCCTCCATCACCATTTTTTTCCTCCCAAATAAACACAATAATTTGTACAGGATCCATAGAAATAAGAAAGGCAATAATGCTATTCTAATTGCCTCTGCTTAGAAAGACCATTCCTCCTGTTCCTTTACCTGGAAAACTCCTAATTTTCCTTCACAATTCAACTCAGGGCAGAGATATTACCTCATTGAGGAAGATGTCTTAATTTTGAGGGGGTTTGTTGTTGTTGAGACAGGGTCTTACTCTGTCACCAGGCTGGAATGCAGCCGAACAATCATAGCTCACTGCAGCCTCGAACTCCTGGGCTCAAGTGATCCTCCTGCTTCAGCCTCGAAAAGTGCTGGGATTAAATGCAAGCCACAGTGCACAGCCCCTGATTTTCAAATTGTCCTAAGTGCTCCTCCTGGGCTCCCAATAGCACTTGTTTCTCTTAGTACTTACCACACTGTGCTACATTATGTGTTCCTGTATCTGAATGCTTAGAACTTAGCACAAGTGGGCCTGGCACAGTGGCTCATGCCTGTAATCCCAGCACTTTGGGAGACTGAGGTGGGTGGATCACAAGGTCAAGAGACCGAGACTATCCTGGTCAACAGATCGAGACTATCCTGATCAACACGGTGACTCCCCGTCTCTACTAAAAATACAAAAATTAGCCAGGCATGGTGGCACATGTCTGTAATCCCAGTTACTCAGGAGGCTGAGGCAGGAGAATCGTTTGAACCCAGGAGGCAGAAGTTGCAGTGAGCCGATATCACGCCACTGCACTCCAGTGTGGCGACAGAGTGACACTCCATCTCAAAAACAGACAAACAAAAAAAGAACTTAGCACAGGTGCACATAGTCTGAATTCAATAAAGAGCTGCTAAACTTAATTTAACTAATGGCTAAAGTAATAACAGAAGATAAATTTCGTTGAATCTAAGCCTTACTGCATCTGAAAAGCACCACAGGCAAAAACGGAAAAGAGGAAGACTTTGGCTGTAGTCTTCAATTTCTGCCCAGCTAGAGTTTTGATTTTGGGGTCTACAGCCTGAACTATGCAAGTATTCAAGAGTTTTAATTTTTTTTTAGGAATTCAATGTGGAATCAAGAATTTCCTATGCTGGCATTCATCAAATCTGGACCTAATCTGGATATCACTGGCCTCATCCTACACTGCCCTTCCTACACTCCAGTCACATGCAACTTGCCCTTCCAGGAATGCCTGCACATTCACATATAGGTCCACTGATTTTCTGCTGTTTTCCATGTGAAATCTCATTTATTTTTCAAGATTTGACTCAATATCACTTCCCGTTTGAAATCCTGCCTGGTACCTTTGTCCACACAAAAATCCAGCTGGCACAATTAATCATGCTCAAGTTTCTGTAGCACTTAGTTAAAATGGCTGAAGATAATTAGATAATAGCTTACAGTATTTGCATTTCCAACTAATAGGTGAGTTCCCAGGGTTTTTTGTTTTTATTTTTTAAATTGAGTTGCTTTTAAATGTTTTTTTATTATTTGTAGAGATAGGGTCTCACTATACTGCTCAGGTTAGGCATGAGCCACCATGCCTAGCCTATTGTGAACATTGTTTTTAAAAATATACAACAACTTTATTGAGATACAGTTCATGTACCATACAATTCATCTATTTAAAGTACACAATTTGAAGAATTTTAGTATACTGTTGTGTATGTATGTTGTGCAACCATCACAATTTCATCATCCCAAACATTTTCATCACCTCAGAAGGCAACCCTATACCTATTACAGTGACTTCCCATTTCCCTCACCCCATTTCCTAATCTTATTTATTTTATAAGCAACCTCTCTCATTTTTCCCTGATCAATTTTGCCAATGAGTTTTCAATACTACTAAATACGTTCAAAGAACCACTTCTTGGAATTATTGATCCTCTATAAAATAATGGTATATTTTTAATTTTATTAATTTTTACTTTCATCTTTGTTCTTCCTTCCTTCTTTGGGTTTATTCTTTTGTTGTTTTTGTAACATAGGCAGATTTATTTATAGCTCCCTTTTAGCAGGAAGTATCCTTTTTGGGAGGGAATCATAGGAGTCTTCTGTCTGATGGGCTTCCAGAGGCCATGAAAATCAAAGCCTAAATTTCATCTAGTTTGGCGACTGCATTCAATGAGGGAAGCTAGCTTTAATGACCCACTCAATAATGTGGTTTGCCATTTTTACTTGGTTTTGGGCCTCTGAGTATTTTTTTACTAACTTGCCAACTCAATGGTCAATTTCAAATGATCTAAAAAAAATTTAAGCAACATTTTTAGTATTCATCCTGAGTGTGAGACAGTTTACATTGTCTACCATATAGCTAGAAAGGGTAAAGACATGTCTTACTCATTTCTGTACCCCAGCATTGGATAGTGCCTAGCCCAGAATAGATCCTCTGTGCATATCTGTTGAAATGATCAGAAACTCAAGATCTAGGAGAAAGATGAGTTTTGTATGGCTTGTACTATGTCCCCCAACATATGGATTGAAGTGGTTTTAGGCAGAGAATGTACTCTTTAGGTGTCCACTTCTCTGTTGTCCTACACTTAGTCCAATGGCATTTAAATTTCCAGCCTTGGACTATTTTTTTTTTTTTTTTTTGAGACAGAGTTTCGCTCTTGTTACCCAGTCTGGAGTGCAATGGCACGATCTCGGCTCACTGCAACCTCCGCCTCTCGGGTTCAGGCAATTCTCCTGCCTCAGCCTTCTGAGTAGCTGGGACTACAGGTGTGCGCCACCATGCCCAGCTAATTTTTGTATTTTTAGTAGAAACAGGGTTTCACCATGTTGACCAGGATGGTCTTGATCTCTTGACCTCGTGATCCACCCGCCTCGGCCTCCCAAAGTGTTGGGATTACAGGCGTGAGCCACCGCGCCCGGCCCCCAGCCTTGGACTATTAAACTGAAGTGCAGGAGATGAGTAGAAGACACTAGAAGGACTATTTGAAAAGGAATTCACATAAGCTTACCTGCTGGTGATTGGGAAAATGTTCCATGGCTTTGAGCAGTAAATGGGTCACATCAGCCAGGAGTCGGACAGGCATTCCCGCAGCAAGATCCTGCTTGGTTAAGTTAAATACACAGGCGCTTGCAGCCAGTTGCACTGGCAAATTCATAGGGTGGTTTCTCATCCCAGTAACCACAAGCTGGAGGAAAAAAAAATTAGTCCTTTCACGTTATAAATACAATCCCTTTTCACAAAGCAGGATTATTTTGATGATCTATACTAATTTCAAAGATGTCATTAAGTTTCTTTTTCATCCTCATGTGCAAAGAGCCTAGGACATAGCAGTTACTCACAAATAGTTCCAGTCTATCTCACCAAGGCAGGTATCCCGTTATTCATATCTAGAGGTTTTCTGAAAGCTAATGAATCTTTTCAACATGGGTCACTCATATCTTTGTACTTCTAAGACCTACTGTGGTGCCTGTTACATGGAAGGCAGTGAATAAATTCTCACTGACTTGAATAGAGCACACTTCACTCTGAAATCTCAATCTTCAGTTCTTGAGAACACTGCTGAGGTTAGAATGCAATAAAATCCATTCACTTCCCCTGGCCTAGAAGAAACTATTTCTCACTTTTCCGCTCTTCTGAAACCTCCAATGAATCCTTCCCATTCTTCACTATCAGTTGAAGATCTTGCTTTCAACCACACTAAGAAAACTGCCAGCCTGGGCAACATGATGAAACCCCATTTCTATAAAACAATAGAAAAATTAGCTGGGGGCCAGGCGCAGTGGCTCACGCCTGTAATCCCAGTACTTTGGGAGACCAAGGCAGGTGGATCACCTGAGGTCAGGAGTTTGAGACCAGCCTGGCCAACTTGGTGAAACCCTATCTCTACTGAAAATACAGAAATCAGCTGGGTGTGGTGGCATGTGCCTGTAATCCCAGATACTTGGGAGACAGAAGCAGGAGAATGGCTTGAACCCAGGAGGCAGATGTTGCAGTGAGTCAAGATAGTGCCATTGCACTAGAGCCTGAGAGACAAGAAGTGAAACTCCGTCTCAAAAACTTAATAAATAAAATTAGCTGGGTATAGTAGTACACGTCTGTAGTCCCATCTACTTGAGATGCTGAGGTGGGAGGATCACCTAAGCCCTGGGAGGCAGAGGCTGTAGTGAGCCATGGTCACACTACTGCACTTCAGCCTGAGGGACAGAGTGAGACCCTGCCTCCAAGGAAAAGAAAAAAAAAAAAAAAAGGAAAACTGAAGCAACCAGAAAACAACTTCAGATTCTCACTACTACATGTATCCCACTTACCAGCATACACACATATACATGTCACCTTCCTGCCTGTTATCATAAAGGATCTTTTGGGGGTCCTTTGTAAAACTAATCCTTCCATGTATATGTAAGATCATTCTTTTCTTGCCTACTGAAGCTGTTCACCTCTCCTACTCCTACATCAATTTTTTATTCTGTATTGGATCATTCATATCAGGATACAAACAATCTGAACTTTTCCTATTAAAAAAAATCAGGCCGAGCTCAGTGGCTCACGCCTGTAATCCCAGCACTTTGGGAGGTCAAGGCGGATGGATCACAAGGTCAAGAGATTGAGACCATCCAGGCCAATATGGTGAAACCCTGCCTCTACTATACAAAAATAAGCTGGGCGTGGTGGTGCACGCCTGTAATCCCAGCTATTTGGGAGGTTGAGGCAGGAGAATCACTTGAACCAGGGAGTCAGAGGTTATAGTGAGCTGAGATCACAACATTGCACTTTAGCCTGGTGACAAAGAGAGAATCCATCACAATTTTTAAAAATTTAAGAATCGGCCGGGCGCGGTGGCTCAAGCCTGTAATCCCAGCACTTTGGGAGGCCGAGGCGGGTGGATCATGAGGTCAAGAGATCGAGACCATCCTGGTCAACATGGTGAAACCCCGTCTCTACTAAAAATACAAAAAATTAGCTGAGCATGGTGGCGTGTGCCTGTAATCCCAGCTACTCAGGAGGCTGAGGCAGGAGAATTACCCAGGAGGCAGAAGTTGCGGTGAGCTGAGATTGCGCCATTGCACTCCAGACTGGGTAACAAGAGTGAAACTCCGTCTCAAAAAAAAAAAATTTTTTTTAAATCAAAACATCCCTCTTTTAATCTCATGTCCTCAAACAATGGCCATCTTTTTTCTTTGCTTCCCTTTGCAAAAAAATTCTCTATAAGAATTGCCTTGGCCAGGCATGCTGGCTCACGCCTGTAATCCCAGCACTTTGGAATGCCAAGGCAGGTGGATTACTTGAGGTCAGGAGTTCAAGATGAGCCTGGCCAACATGGTGAAACCCCCATCTATACTAAAAATACAAAAATTAGCTGGGTGAGGTGGCGGGGCACCTATAACCCCAGCTACTTGGGAGGCTGAGGCAGGAGAATCGTTTGAACAGGGAAGGTAGAAGTTGCAGTGAGCCGAGATAATGCCACTGCACTCCAGCCTGTGCAACAGAGTATGACTCAGTCTCAAAAAAAGAGGGGTGGGGGATGCCGGGTGGGGTGGCTCATTCCTACAATCCCAGCACTTTGGGAGGCCAAGGTGTGCAGATCACAAGGTCAGGAGTTCAAGACCAGCCTGGCCTACATAGTGAAACCCTGTCTCTACTAAAAATACAAAACTTAGCTGGGTGTGGTGGCACACACCTGTAGTCCCAGCTACTTAGGCGGCTGAGGCGGGAGAATCACTTGAACCCAGGAGGCGGAGGTTGCAGTGAGTTGAGACAGAGACTACACCATTGCACTCCAGCCTAGGTGACAAAGTGAAACTTCGTCTCACACACACACACACACACACACACCCCAAATTGCCTAGGCTAAGTGCAGTGGCTTACGTCTATAATTACAGAACTTTGGGAGGTCAAGGCAGGAGGATCACTTGAGGTCAGGAATTTGAGACTAGCCTGGGCAACACAGCAAGACCCTGTCTCTACAAAAAAATTTAAAAAATTAGCCTGTGTAATGTAGTGTGATCCTGTCTCTACAAAATTAGCTGGGTGTGGTTGTGTGGGCCTGTAGTCTTAGCTACTCAGGAGGCCTGCCTGAGCCCAGGAGTTTGAGGTTACAGTGAGCTATGACCATACTACCGCACTCCAGCCTGGGCAACAGAGTGAGACACTGTCTCATAAATTAATTAACTAATTTAATGAAATACACTTATTTATTTATTTAAAAAATTAGCCAGGTATGATGGCACCCACCTACAGTCCTACCCATTCAGGAGGCTGAGGCAGAAGACTGCTTGAGCTCAAGAGTTTGAGACTGCAATGAGCTATGATCGTGCACCACTGTACTCCAGCCTGGGCAATACAGCTAGATCCTGTATCTTTAAAAAAATAAAATAAAAGTGGCTCACTCTTATAATCCCAACACTTTGGGAGGCCAAGGCAAGAGAATCAGTTGAGCCCAGAAATTCGAGACCAGCCTGGGCAACACAGTGGGACTCCATCTCTACCAAAAAGCAATAATAATAAATATTTTAAAATTCAGCCAGACATGGTGTTATATGCCTACAGTCCTAGCCACTCTTAAGGCTGAGGCAGGGGGATCACTTGAACCCAGGAGGAAGGTCAAGGCTGCAGTGAGCCATGATCATGCCACTGCACTCCAGCATGGGTGACAGAGTGAGATGCTACTTTGATACACAAATCAATAGCCTATATTCTTTCATTTATCTCTGAATCATTCTCTGAAAGTCTGAATTAATATTTCAGATCAAGACTAGAGATCTAGCCCTTTGTTGCTTGGTTCACAGTAATCAAAACCCCCAAAAAATGACAATTCATATACCAAGTGCCAACCTCTGGTATATATGGAAGGAGTGACAGGTGTTAGTGATAATATCCTAAGGACTAAAATGTTACTGGTTCCTACCCAAGCACCTTATTCTCAGAATTTAAGATAACTAGGAGGTCCAATTCTAGCTCTGCCATTGACTTATTATTACTTAATGTCACAAAACCTCAATTTCATAATCTGCAAAACAGAAGATAAAACCTATCTTTTGGAATTGTGCCCACTAAACAAGGTGCCAAATATAGTCCTATGTTCACTGTTTTTCAAAATTGACTGTGCATAAGAATTACATTGGAATTATCTTAGGTACTTATTAAAACACAGATTCCTGTGCCTCATCTAGCCATACTGAATCTAAATTTCTTGGGATGGAGTTCACAAATGTCCTTTTTGTTTTTTAGACAAGGTTTCACTCCATTACCCAGGTTGGAGTGTGGTGGCATGATCTCAGCTCACTGCAATCTCTGCCTCCCATGCTTGAGGAATTCTCCAGCTTCAGTGTCCTGTGTAGATGGGACTACAGGTGCATGCCACCACCTGGCTAATTTTTTGTATTTTTTGTAGAGATGAGGTTTTGCCATGTTGCCCAGACTGGTTTTGAATTCCTGAGCTCAAGTGATCTGCCTGCCTTGGCTTCCTAAAGCGCTGGGGTTACAGGTGTGAGCCACCACGCCTGGCCATGCATATGCTTTTTTTTTTTTTTTTTTTTGAGTTGGAGTCTTGCTCTGTCACCAGATGGGAGTACAGTAGCGTGATCTTGACTCACTGCAACCTCCGCCTCCTGGATTCAAATAATTCTCCTGCCTCAGCCTCCCAAGTAGCTGAGACTACAGGCACACACCACCATACCTGGCTAATTTTTGTATTTTTGTTAGAGAAAGGGTTTCACCATGTTGGCCAGAATGGTCTCCATCTCCTGGCCTTGTGATTCTCCCACCTTGGCCTCCCAAAGTACTGGGATTACAGGCATGAGCGACTGTACCTGGCCACACAAATATGCTTTATAAATAAGCAATATCCTAGACTTCTAGTGGTTAAAGGACCACATTTTTTTTTTGTTGAGGAAGCCTTGCTCTGTCACTAAGGCTGGAGTGCAATGGCATGATCTCAGCTCACTGTAACTTCAGCCTCCCAGGTTCCTTGTGCCTCAGCTTCCTGGGTACCTGGGATTACAGGCATGCACCACACTTTGCTACTTTTTTGTATTTTTGGTAGAGATGGGGTTTCACCATGTTGGCCAGGCAGGTCTAGAACTCCTGGTCCCAAGTGACCCACCTGCCTCAGCATTCCAAAGTTACCACGTTTTGACAAACTGTGTCCTAGCCCAAAGGACCACATTTTGATAAACGTTGCCCTAAGCATTCAATAAAATGAAGAAATCTCCTTTCTTGCCCTTCAAAAACTGGCTTGGTTAAAATAGCTGGGTATTGTCATGTACACCTATAGTCCTAGCTACTTGGGAGGCTAACACAGGAGGATTGCTTGAGCCCAGGAGTTTGAGGCCTGTCAACAGCCGCTGTACTCTAGCCTGGGCAACACAGTAAGACCCTGTGTCTTAAAAACAATACTTAACTTGGGGAGTAATGTAGATCAGTTATGAATACACAGTAGGTTCTAAATACCATGGAAAAGTGCCTTACGGAATTCTGGTATTTTCTTTCTCTTAATTTTTCTCTTTCTTTTTTTGTGGGCTTTTTTTTTTTGGAGACAGAGTCTCACCCTGTTGCCCAGGCTGGAGTGCAATGGCACTATCTTGGCTCACTGCAACCTCCACTTCTCAGGTTCAAGCGATTCTTCTGCCTTAGCCTCCTGAGTAGCTAGGATGACAGGTGTGTGCCACCACGCCCTGCTAATTTGTTTTGTGCCTTTAGTAGAGACGGGGTTTCACCATGTTGACCAGGCTGGTCTTGAACTCCTGACCTCGTGATCTGCCCACCTCGGCCTCCCAAAGTGCTGGTATCATGGGCATGAGCCACCACGACTGGCTTTTTTTCTGTATTTTTTTATACTTTTTGTAGAAATGGAGTTTTGCCATGTTGCTCAGACTGGTCTCGAACTCCTGGGCGCTACCCACCTGTCTCAGCCTCCCGAAGTGCTGGGATTAACAGGCATGAGCTACCACACGTGGCTCAATATTATATTCCTTTTTCTTTTTTTTTTTTGTTTTGAGACAGAGTTTCGCTCTTGTTACCCAGGCTGGAGTGCAATGGCGTGATCTTGGCTCACCGCAACCTCCGCACCCTGGGTTCAAGCAATTCTCCTGCCTCAGCCTCCCGAGTAGCTGGGACTACAGGCGCGCGCCACCATGCCCAGCTAATTTTTGTATTTTTAGTAGAGATGGGGTTTCACCTTGTTGACCAGGATGGTCTCGATCTCTTGACCTCGTGATCCACCCACCTCGGCCTCCCAAAGTTCTGGGATTATAGGCGTGAGCCATTGCGCCTGGCCTCAATATTGTATTTCTAAAAAATCTATTTGGGAAGCAATATATGATTAATATACAATACAGTGTCCTGATTCCAGTCACATACTTTCATTTTCTTTTTTTTTTATTTTTATAAATTTTTTTTTATAAGGCATGGACTAGCTGAGACATTTTCTTTTCTTTTCTTTTCTTTTCTTTTCTTTTTTTTGAGACGGAGTCTTGCTCTGTTGCCCAGGCTGGAGTGCAGTGGCACAATCTTGGCTCACTGCAACCTCTGTCTCCTGGGTTCAAGCGATTCTCCTGCCTCAGCCTCCGAGTAGCTGGGACTATAGGCACTCCAGCTAATTTCTGTATTTTTAGTAGAGATGGGGTTTCACCATGTTGGCCAGGATGGTCTGAATCTCTTGACCTCATGATCTGCCCACCTTAGCCTCCCAAAGTGCTGGAGTTATCGGCATGAGCCACCGCGCCCAGTCTGTACTTTCATTTTCTTATTTATTTATTTACTTATTTATTTTTGAGATGGAGTTTCACTCTTGTTACCCAGGCTGGAGTGCAATGGCACGATCTCAGCTCACCATAACCTTCGCCTCCTGGGTTCAGGCAATTCTCCTGCCTCAGCCTCCTGAGTAGCTGGGATTACAGGCACGCGCCACCATGCCCAGCTAATTTTTTGTATTTTTAGTAGAGACAGCGTTTCACCATGTTGACCAGGATGGTCTTGATCTCTTGACCTCGTGATCCACCTGCCTTGGCCTCCCAAAGTGCTGGAATTACAGGCGTGAGCCACTGCGCCCGGCTGTACTTTCATTTTCTACAGTAGCTGGTGATAAAATAGCACAGTGGTCACTGGTTTTCGGTAGATAAATAGGTACTACAAGACATTTATATTGCTTAATGAAACTACTATAAAACTTCAATAACATTGTACAATTATCTTATCTCTCATTTATGGCTAATAATTCACACATCAATCATATTATAAATAAAAAAAGACTATATGCAAAGTTTCACCAGTTTTCTTCAAAAAATTATCTGCACAAGGAGATCATTTCAAAAATGTCATATCCAGTTTCTTATTCTTACCTTTAAAATTTCTGGCTTTGTTTTTTCCATCACATGAGTCAGACTAAACAGATGAAATAGAGCTTCCCGAACAAAGAAAGCCCGTTCACTGTAGCGCTTCAGTGCTTCCGCAATCTGAGTTTCATTGGCTTCTCCAGACACCTGTGAATATAACTGGAAGATTAGCTTTTAGAATTCTCTAACTTTATCTAGTTAAAGAAAGTAGATTTGGCTGGGTGCGGTGGCTCACACCTGCAATCCCAGCACTTTGGTAGACCAAGGAGGGTAGATTACATGACGTCAGGAGTTCAAGACCACCGTGGCCAACACAGTGAAACCCTGTGTCTACTAAAAACACAAAAATTAGCCAAGCATGGCGTGGCATGCGCCTGTAATCCCAGCTACTCAGAAGGCTGAGGCAGGAGAATTGCTTGAACCCAGGAGGTGGAGGTTGCAGTGAGCTGAGATCAAGCCACTGCACTTCAGCCTGGGCGACGCAGCGAGATTCCATGTCTAAATAAATAAATAAATAAATAAATATCATTGTATACATGGCATCTAGGATAGTTACAAAACTTGAATCAAATAGAAATGATTATACTTTTTAATCTATCCAGATTATTCATCTTAAAAAGATTTATTTGTCTTGAAGAGATGTTTATTAAGCTCAGAATCTAGCATAAAACCATGGGTGAAATTTTTGGTATTATACCTAAAATAAATCTCAAGATATTTAACACTATTTATAAGCCCCTACAACTTGATTAGGGTCCTATCTGCCTCTTAATCCTCACCCCCTAGCTCACAACGTTAAAGCTATGTAACCTTTTTTCCTCATCTTTCCTTAAGTCAAGCTTCTTCTCAGCAAAAGACCACTCATACAATGTCCTCTCTGAAAACTTACTTTCTCTCTTTGCCTGACTAATTTCTACTCATTCTTCCTTATTCAAGTTAAGAACACTTTTTTAGAGAAGTCTTCCTTGAGCCACTGATTTAAATTAGATCCCCTGAAACATCTCTTTCATAGCGATTATCATAATCCCTGCACTAAATTGTTCCATTCACCACTGTACCCCAATAACTGGCATTATGCTTGGCTCAGAATACATACTCCATAAGTATTCATCAAATAAATGTATCAATTAATTTCCCCAGATTTATCATGCTCCTTTTCAGCACCAAGAGGTTCTGTTCAAAATTAAGTCTTTCCAGGGATTTCCCAGTTAAAGAGTTTAATATACGTATCTTAAAATGTGATTCATGTACCACTGGCAACCAAACATAGATAATAGAAAGTGGCTCTTTATAAAAGCAATCCAACTAATAAGTGAAAAATAAATAAAAATATCACCATAATCCCCAATGAATTAATAGATCTAGCAACTAAGTGTCAATACCTGCTAACATCATAGAAAGAGAAACAACTAGATATTAATGTACCTCCCAAAGAAAGAATACAACACCTAAGGGTCTAGTCAAAGGGATCAAACATGAGTCTAATTAAGCCTCCAAATCCAGCTACCAATTTGCAGAAAATACAAAGAGAAAGATGCACCATTAGCATACAATCAGCAAAATCCAGGATGGCAGAGTGGCTTATATCTGTAATCCCAGCACTTTGGGAGGTCGAGGCCGGAGGATCACTTAAGCCCTTGAGTTCCAGACCGGCCTGGGCAACACAGCGAGACTCTGTCTCTACAAAACAACAACAAATACAATAAAATCTAGACTGAGGGAAACTGCAAATCAAAAGGATAAATTCTTCAATGAACAAATTATAAGGAAAAGAAAGGGATGGAGGAGAAGGAATCTATAAACTAAAAGACACTAAAAAGACATCAAATAATTTTAAACAGGCAAGATTAACCAAGTGTCTAAATAGTTGGGTCATAAAATTATAAAGAAATGAAAGGACACGGCCAGGTATAGTGGCTCAAGCCTGTAATCCCACCACTTTGGGAGGCCGAGGCAGGTGGATCACTTGAGATCACCTGACCAACATGGTGACAACCTGTCTCTACTGAAAATACAAAAAAAAAAAAAAGGAGGCTGGGCGTGGTGGCTCACACCTGTAATCCCAGCACTTTGGGAGGCAGAGGTGGGTGGATCACACGAGGTCAAGAGATTGAGACCATCCTGATCAACATGGTGAAACCCCGTCTCTACTAAAAATACAAAAAATTAGCTGGGCATGGTGGTGTGTGCCTGTAATCCCAGCTACTCAGGAGGCTGAGGCAGGAGAATTGCCTGAACCCAGGAGGCGGAGGTTGCAGTGAGCCGAGATTGCGCCATTGCACTCCAGCCTGGGTAACAAGAGCGAAACTCCGTCTCCAAAAAAAAAAGGAAGAAATGAAAGGACATGATTACTATTAAGGTCAGAACAGAGGTTGCTTTTGTAGAGAAGGAGGGAGTCGTGTCCAGGATGGGGCACATGGAAGAACTTTGGAGTAGCTGACAAAGTTCTGTTTCTTAATCTGAGTGATGGTCTCAAATGTGTTCATTTTATTTTCATTAAGCTACGTAATTATTTATCGTCTTTGTATCTATTTTATTTTACAATGAAGATTTTTAAAATGCCAAAAAATGTCATTTTGAGAGATTATCTTATAATAAGGGGAAGAGTTAGTCTTTTTTGGCAGTAACATTATACAGTGTGACACAAAAGTAATCAAATACTTTAAAAATATATTACTCGGTAATTTTTATATAAACATATAATATTCAGCCAGACATGATGGCTCATGCCTGTAATCCCAGCACTTTGGGAGCTAGAGGCAGGAGGATTGCTTGAGTCTAGGATTTCAAAACCGGCCTGGGCAACAAGTAAGACCCTGTCTCTATATAAAGAAAAATTAGGCCGGGTGCGGTGGCTCACGCCTATAATCCCAGCACTTTGGGAGGCCAAGGCGGGTGGATCACGAGGTCAAGAGATCGAGACCATCCTGGTCAACATGGTGAAACCCTGTCTCTACTAAAAATACAAAAATTAGCTGGGCATGGTGGTGCACACCTGTAGTCCCAGCTACTCGGGAGGCTGAGGCAGGAAAATTGCTTGAACCCAGGAGGCGGAGGTTGTGGTGAGCCGAGATCGCTCCATTGCACTCCAGTCTGGGTAACAGAGCGAAACTCCGTCTCAAAAAAAAAGAAAAGAAAAGAAAAGAAAAATTAGCCATGTGTGATGGTGCATGCCTGCAGTCCCAGCTACTTGGCAGACTGAAGTGGACTGCTTGAGCCCAGGAATTTGAGGCTGCAGTAAGCCATGATTGTGCCACGGCACTCCATGATGGGCAACAGAGTGAGAGAAATTCTTTCTCAAAAAACAAACAAAAAAAAAAAGAATATAATATTCAGACTGGAAAATGCAGCGTTGAGGAAATGAAGGGATGTATCACGGCTGACATTTCAACCATTAATATGATAGGCTACAAGTGTCTGAAATGAATTAGACTACAGTATTGATATATGTCACATGACACAAAGGCACATATTGAGAATTTTTATCATTGTTGAAATAATAATAAGAGTTTCTTTACTTCTACTACTTTTAAAATTTTTGTTGAGACACGGTCTCACTCTGTCACCCCGACTGGAGTACAGTGGCACTAACTTGGCTCACTGCAAACTCTATTTCCTGGATTCAAGCAATTCTTATGCCTCAGCCTCCCAAGTAACTGGGATTATAGGTGCACGCCACCATGCCTGGCTAATTTTTGTATTTTTAGTAGAGATGGGGTTTCACCATGTTGGCCAGGCTGGTCTAGAACTCCTGACCTCAAGTGATCCGCCCGCCTCGGAATCCTAATGTGTTGGGGGATTACAGGCACGAGCCACTGTGCCCAGCCTACATTATTTTACTTCTTTAAATGCTTTTTAAACCTAATATTTATGTAGAACATACGTATACAAACTGGTTTTAACTACATATTCACATGTACAAATGGGTATTTAATAATAAAATTTTTCAAAATGTTCAGCTCATTTAATCACCCAGAACTTTTTCTTATAAATTCAGAAAAAACACTGAAATTTGAAATTAAAAAAACTGTAAGAGGGAAACAAAATAAATCGGTCTTTATTCTTCATTTACCCACATTTGGTTGGTTCCAACAACTTCATAAATCTCTTATATGAAATATATCCTCAAGTTACCTTGAATGTAAAATTAAAGAACTTTTGTTACTGCCTCCACCTCCTGGATTCCAGTGATTCTCCTGCTTTAGCCTACTGAGTAGCTGGGACAACAGGTGCCTGCTACCATGCCCAGCTAATTCTTTTTGTATTTTTAGTAGAGGCAGGGTTTCACCACGTTGGCCAGGCTGGTCTCAAACTCCTGGCCTCAACTGATCCCCCTGCCTTCACTACCCAAAGTGCTAGGATTATAGGTGTGCTCTAAGATAATTTTATTGCCTATATGGTTTATTCCGAGATCAACACTTCTCTAGCCAGTGACAAATCTCACATCTGGCTGCTCAAGTTATAAGTATCTTCTTTTTTCACCTAAAGTGCTGGGATTACAGGGGTTAGCCACGGTATCTGGCCAACTAAAGCTATTTTTAAATTAGTCTGTATTTTCTCCACTAGAGTTCCTCAAAAGCAGAGATACTAACATAAATATCTTCTTGTTGTTTTGTTTTGTTTTTGAGACACAGACCTGCTGTGTCGCCCAGGCTGGAGTGCAGTGGCACAACACTGGCTCACTGCAACCTCCGCCTCCCGGGTTCAAGCAATTTCCCTGCCTCAGCCTCCCGAAGAGATGGGATTACAGGCACCTGCCACCATGCCTGGCTATTTTTTGTATTTTTAGGAGAGACGGTTTTTCACCATCTTGGCCAGACTGGTCTCAAACTCCTGACCTCAAGTAATTCGCCTACCTTGGCATCCCAATTACAGGTGTCAGATGGGGTCTCATTATGTTGCTCAGGCTGGTCTCAAGCCTCCAACTCCTGAGCTCAAGAAATCCTCCTGCCTTAGCCTCCCAAAGTGCTAGGATTAAAGGCATGAGCCGCTATCCCTGGCCAAAAAACATTTTTGTACCTTCACTACATGTTGATTACTGCAGTTTGATATAGGAGTCTGAGTTCAAGGGAGAGATCTAAGTTAAGACACAAATTTAGGAGTCATCAACATATAGATTTAAGGAATGAGGTACAGAGCACTCTAACAGAAGCCTGAAAGATGAGGAAGAACCAACAAAGGAAATTGAGGCCCAGTATCAGGACAAGTAGGAAAAAACACAAGATAGTATGATATCCTGGAAGCTAAGTTAAAAGAAAAAAAAAAAGGATCTCAAGGAGGAAGGCAAGATCAACTATGTCAAATACCATTTTACTTTGGGTCAAATAAGATGAAGACTAAGAACTAACACTGGGTTTAGCAGATTTTCAGTGTTCTCAGGAGTTGGGAGCCACAGCTTGGTAGATTATCCAAGTATGGGATAAGGTGGCCAACAAATATAAGAATTCTAGTTGTGGAGAAATCAAAGGTTCAGGAAACTGATGTTGACAGAAGAGAAAACTGAGTAGTGAAATAGTGAGAAGAGAACATTGAGTGGAGAAATAGTGAGAAGAGAAAACTCTAGTGGAGAAACAGTGATGACAGAGCTGGAAATATTATGGTAAGAAAGCCAGGCTAGGCACAGGGTCTTCACTTATAATCCCAACATTCTGGGAGGCCAAGGTGGGAGAATCGCAAGACCCCATCTTTACAAAAACATTAAAAAAAAAAATTAGGCCAGGTGCAGTGGCTCATGCCTTTATAGCCAAAATCACACCACTGCACTTCAGTTTGGGTGACAGAGCGAGACTCCATCTCCAAAAAAAAAACACCAAACATAAGATTTAAAGCATGTATGTATAAAAGTATGTAAGTAAATAGTTATAAATAAATATAAAAATATATTTACAATCATATAATCACTGCTCCCATTAGGTTAAGCTCCTTGGAGGCATATATTTTCTTCTGTTTTTTTTTTTTTTTTTTTTTTTTTGAGATGGAGTCTCGCTCTGTCACCTAGGCTTGAGAGCAGTGGCACAATCTTGGCTCTCTGCAACCTCCACCTCCTAGGTTCAAGGGATTCTCCTGCCTCAGCCTTCCGAGTAGCTGGGACTACAAGCATATGCCACCATGCCTGGCTAATTTTTGCATTTTTAGTAGAGGCAGGATTTCACCATGTTGGCCAAGCTGGTCTCAAACTCCTGACCTCAAGTGATCTGTCACCTCCACCTCCCAAAGTGCTGGAATTACAGGCTTGAGCCACCACACCCAGCCTCATTTTCCTTTTTTAATCCCAAACTCTACCAAATTCAACTGATTTTTTTTTTTTTTTGAGACAGTTTCACTGTTGTTACCCAGACTGGAGTGCAATGGCATGATCTCGGCTCACCGCAACCTCCGCCTTCTGGGTTCAAGCAATTCTCCTGCCTCAGCCTCCCGAGTAGCTGGGACTACAGGCGCGCACCAACATGCCCAGCTAATTTCTGTATTTTTAGTAGAGACGGGGTTTCACCTCATTGACCAGGATGGTCTCGATCTCTTGACCTCATGATCCACCCGCCTCGGCCTCCCAAAGTGCTAGGATTATAGGCGTGAGCCACCATGCCCGGCCCAACTGATGTTTTGTTAAACTAAATTTAAACCAGTAGGCATGAGAAACCTTAGGAAAAGCAAAATTCTACCATTTCTACAGTAGAGATCGCCTTAGAGAACTTGATCTCCCACTAGGTACTCAATTCAACAAGGGGTATCCCTAGTTTCTCTGAAGTTATCCATTAGAAACACTATGTGTAAATGGTTCAAAATACCTAAATATTATCATAAGATGACCTATTGTTCATCCAGGACCTACTATGTGACTTGTAATTTACATAGATTATTATGAATCTTCAGCAATCTGCAAGGTAATAATAATATATATTTTACAAATAAGGAAATAAAAACTCAAAGTTACATCATAGTTTGTTCTGGGTCATGAAGCTGAGATTTTAATTAGGACTCTAAGCCTTTCAACTATACAAGGCCCTGTTTCATGAAAATGTTCTCTATATCATGGACATTCATCTTTAATAGAATCTTACGCAACTAAGATATTGGTCAGCCTGACAAAATAATACATTTTAAAAGTCTAACCTTCAAATGTCCTTCGCCTGTGAGGAACTCAGAATAACCAGCATCAGTAGCCAGCAAACCTACAAACTGCATGCTTGGCCGTTGTTGTATAAAGGCTTCAACAGCTTTATCTGTCACGTGCTTTCTCCCAGAAACATCCAGAGAAACAAGGTTGGGTAGGATGTCTTTTTGTTCTAGTAAGCGAAGAGCTATGTCTGACGTAAACTGTTTATCATCTGAGATATCAAGATGATTCAGATGTTTGAGTTCCCGAACAACATCCAGTATCTGGGTAGTTGTCATTTTTAAACATTTCAAGTGGTGCATGGTTAGAGACTTGAGTCGGTCTTTGCAGGCCAGTAGAGCAGTGATGTCTGTGATCGAGGTGTTAGAAATATCTAAGCTCTCTAATCTTGGCAACGAGGCAACTTCAGCCAGGTCTTCATTGTAAAAGAGAACATTGGTGATGCTTAAAGCTCGAAGGCCAGAAAGCCGGCTGAAGCACCGCTCGTAAGGATCCTCAAGGGAGAGAGTTAATGAATTCAGCACCAAGCACTGGAGATTTTGCTGGATCCATTTGTTACTGCCAAGTCCACTGATAATGTCTGTAATCGTGATATCAGCATTCACACCTGTGGCATCAAGTTCCACTAACTTGTGGTGACAGAAGGCTTTCCGGAAAGCAACAGCAGAGATCTTTGCTTTGCGAATGCAGGCTCGTTTTAAGCGCATCTGGTTGCCCCTAAAAATACCCACAGTTCCATCATTCAGTAGACCTGTGGAAAAACAAGCAGCGCTTTAACTTCAAAAAACAGTTAAATAATAGCTAAAATTTCCATCACACTTTACATTTCCAAAGTGCTCCCATGAAACAGTATCTCGTTTGATAATCACTATTCATTTAGGTGAGAATATTATTGTCTACAACTTGCAGATGAGTAAACTAGGGCTCAGAGAGTGGCTTTCCAAGATCACAGGGCCAGTAAGTGGCAGAATCAGGACTCTGGTAGACACCATTGATATCCACTAACATCTGGTTCTTAACTTACCAGACAGACAACTACATTTCCCCTGCCCAACCCTGGAGTTAGCTGGAGCCATGTGCTTAATTCTGGCCAATGGACTGCATGCTAAAGCGCCTGAGAGCCAGTGTGTGATTTTCTATGCTGCCTTTTCCTGCTATGACAAATGAGGAGCCTTCAAGTTCTAGAGAGTACAGTTTTACGAGAAGGAACTCTCCATCAGTTTGGATTCTAGGGTGACCATGAAGCAGAATCCTCTATGGACTTGGAGAGTTTATGTACCGCAAGTGAGGTATAAACCTTGTGTTAAGGTATTTGTATTTGTTACCAATACATTTCTAGCCTATCCTTTAAGTTCACCTTAACATATAATTATACACACAAACACATATACACATAATACATTTAGCATGCTTGGCCAGGTATGGTGGCTCATGCCTATAATCCCAGCACTTTGGGAGGTCGAGGCAGGTCGATCACCTTAGGTTTGAAACCACCCTGACCAACATGGAGAAATCCCATTTCTACTAAAAATACAAAATTAGCTGGATGTGGTGGCACATACCAAAATCAGCTGGTAATCAGCTACTCGGGAGACTGAAGCAGGAAAATCACTTGAACCCAGGAGGCAGAGGCTGCAGTGAGCCGAGATTGCACCACTGCACTCCAGCCTGGGCAATAAGAGCAAAACTCCGTCACAATTAAAAAAAAAAAAAAAAAATATATATATATATATATATGTATATACTGAATTACAAGGCATATATATATAATGAATTAAAGGCATACACACACACACACACATATATGCCTTGTAATTCATTAATAAGCCACTAATCATATCTCAAACTTTATTAAAGTGATCTAGCCCTGGGAAACACAGCAAGACCCCATGTCTACAAAATAACTGAAAATGAGTTGGGCATAGTGGTGCATGACTATAAGTCCCAGCTACTCAGGAGGCTGAGATGGGAGGATAACTTGAGCCCATTAGTTTGCGGTTATAGTGAGTTATGATTGCACCACTGCACTCCAGCCTGAGTGACAAAGTTAGACCGTCTCTCTTTTTTTTTTTTTTTTTTGAGATGGAATCTCGCTTTGTCATCCAGGCTGGAGTGCAGTGGTATGAACTTAGCTCACTACAGCATCTGTCTCCCTAGTTCAAGCAATTCTTCTGCCTTAGCCTCTGGAGTAGCTGGGACTACAGATGCCCGCCAACATGCCTGGCTAATTTTTGTATTTTTTTTTTTTTGAGACGGAGTTTTGCTCTTGTTACCCAGGCTGGAGTGCAATGGCGCGATCTCGGCTCACCGCAACCTCTACCTCCTGGGTTCAGGCAATTCTCCTGCCTCAGCCTCCTGAGTAGCTGGGATTACAGGCACGCGCCACCATGCCCAGCTAATTTTTTGTATTTTTAGTAGAGACGAGGTTTCACCATGTTGACTAGGATGGTCTCAATCTCTTGATCTCGGGATCCACCCACCTCGGCCTCCCAAAGTGCTGGGATTACAGGCTTGAGCCACCGCGCCCGGCCTAATTTTTGTATTTTTAGTAGAGATAGGGTTTCACAATGTTGGCCAGGCTGGTCTCGAACTCCTGACCTCATGATCCACCTGCCTCAGCCTCCCAAAGTGCTAGGATTACAGGCGTGAGCCCCCAAGCCTGGCCCCCCGTCTCTTAAACACACACACACACACACACACACACACACACACACACGGCCGCCGCCACCACTGCCATCGTGCCAGCCCCTTGGGTCTCTGTGAGGACAGGTGACGCTCCAGAATGGGAGACAAACCAATTTGGGTGCAGATTGGATCCAGCTTCATTCAACATTATTACCAGTTATTTGATAATGACAGAACCCAACTAGGTGCAATTTACATTGATGCATCATGCCTTATGTGGAAAGGATAACAGTTCCAGGGGAAAGCTGCCATTGTGGAGAAGTTGTCTAGCCTTCCGTTCCAGAAAATCCAGCACAGCATCATGGCGCAGAACCATGCAGCCAGACAGCTGCATCATCAGCATGATTGTGGGCCAGCTTAAGGCAGATGAAGACCCCATCATGGGGTTCCACCAGATGTTAATAAGAACATCAACGATGCATGGGTTTGCACCAATGACATGTTCAGGCTCGCCCTGCACAACTTCAGCTGACCTTCTCTCAGCCAGGCACTCACGCTGTTTCCTCCTCCCTCCTCTTCCCAATAGTATTCCCACTCCTCCAGATGCTCCAGATATCATGCACAAATGAGCAGGGCCGGGGCGGGAGTGGGCGCAGTGCGCTGCTGCCACCAAGGTGTTGTGCATGATGTTTGGACACTAGACTAGTTGCATCTGACGGGAGAAGTTTGTGTTGTACCAGTGCATGCCTTGGAAAGACTTAAGTAATGCAAAAGGTTATCCTTATTTTTTTACTACTGACAAGTTGCTCTAGTAACCCAAAGACGTGAAGGAGAAAGCAGCTGCCTCACCACCCAGACGTTGATTTGTTCAGATGTTTCAATGCCTCATGATACAATAAAACCACAAAAATTTTCTTAATAAAAATAACACACACACACACACAAACACACACACACACACACACCCCTTGGTAATTATAGCCCCTCCCTAGCAGATGAATGTAAATGAAGTCAACAAAGTAACCTCTTGAAGTGCCTTCAAGATCTACCTGTCTGCCAATCTAACAGTGTTACAAGCATGAGATACTTCAGAGCCACATCTCAACAATATCACATATCAACTAAGGACATCGACTGTGAAAGAAGTAACAATCATGCCAATAAAAGGTAGTCTAAGAACAGTCTGAGGTGAATAAGCAATTGGGGACAGATAAATAAATAGCCTGAAGTCAAGAGAGGAACTCTAAAAAGCACCTTAGCTGTCCCATACTCAAGATATAGCTAGGCTGCCAGCCAGCCACTCTTAAATTAGAACTAAGGTATTTTTAAAAGGGAGCACTACTCTCTAATGAATTTTGCAGACTTAATTATAGTTAAATAGTTAAAATCAAGAAAAGCCTTTGTGCAAAACCTGCCTAAGTGGACAAAATTACTAATTATGTATTAAGAACTTCATTATATTTTAGAGCTGTGCTGCCCGACACATAGTCACTAGCTACACACAGCTGGAGAGCACTTGAAAAGCAGCTGGTACAAAGTGAGGTCAGCTACAAGCATAAAATATACACCAGATTGTGAAGACTTAATACAACAAAAGAAGGTAAACTATCTCAGTTTTTTATATTGACTACAGGCTGAAATAATCAGTTTTTAATATACTAGATTAAATAAATACTATTAAAATTAGTTTCACTTGTTTCTTTTTATTTTTTTTAATAAGGCCACCACTAAATTTAAAATTAAAAAAACTTTTTGGGACAGTCTCGCTCTGTTGCCCAGGCTGTAGTGCAGGTGCAGTGGTGCAATCTTCGCTCACTACAACCTCTACCTCCCAGGTTCAAGCAATTCTTCTGCCTCAGCCTCCCAAGTAACTGGGTCCCACACATCCACACCTGGCTAATTTTTGTATTTTTAGTAGAGATGGGGTTTCACCATATTGGCCAGGCTGGTCTTGAACTCCCGACCTCGTGATCTGCCCGCCTCAGCCTCCCAAGGTGCTGGGATTACAGGCATGAGCCACCACACCCAGCCAAAATTACATTCCTATTTAACACTGTTGTTTTAAGAACAGCCTTTCAAATTACCTGAACTCTATTTCAGGGGAGTAAATTTCATGGTGGGATCCACTCAGCAAACAGTTATTAAAGAATTACTATATGTCAAGTATTCTAAATGCTGTAGATACAAAGAAAAATAAGATATGTCCCTATAATAAAAGGATTCATAATTCCAGGGAGTAAAAGAGACACAGTCATAACAAAATGAGGTATGTGGTATACCAACGTCAAATACAAAATACCACAAAAACAAAGAAAAGGAATTAAACCATCATGACTGGAGATCTGGAAAAGATTTGATAGAAGAGGTGTTCTTTGAGTAAAGCCTTTGAAGATGCTGGAAGAATTCAAAGATGAAGGTTAGGAGGGGCTCAGTGGCTGATGCCTGTAATCCCGGCACTTGGGAGGCTGAGCATGGCCAACATGGCAAAACCCCATCTCTATTAAAAATACAAAAATTAAGGCTGAGGTGGGTGGATCAAGAGGTCAAGAGATCAAGACCATCCTGGTCAACATGTGAAACCCCGTCTCTACTAAAAATACAAAAAATTAGCTGGGCATGGTGGCATGTGTCTGTAATCCCAGCTACTCTGGAGGCTGAGGCAGAAGAATTGCCTGAACCCAGGAGGCAGAGGTTGCAGTGAGCCGAGATAGCGCCATTGCACTCCAGCCTGGGTAACAAGAGCGAAACTCCCATCTCAAAAAAAAAAAAAAAATACAAAAATACAAAAACTAGCCAGGTGTGGTGCATGCCTGTAATACCAGCTACTCAGGAGGCTGAGGCAGAGAATCACTTGAACTTGGGGGGCAGAGGCTGCAGTGAGCCAAGGCCACACCACTACACTCCAGCCTGGGTGACAGAGCAAGACCCCCATCTCAAAAAAAAAAAAAAAAAAAGAGAGAGAGAAAGGTTAGGAATATTAAAGGAAGAATATACAACATAAGCAAAGTCTTAAAGATATGAAACATATCACAGTGTTATGAAATGGCAAGTTCTATATTGCTTGAACATAAGAAACAGAACTGTATGATGTGGTGCATTTCTGGGGATATAAACATGTAAATGAAA